TCAAGTAACATGCTTTCTTACCTTAGGTGGGTACCCTGAGGACCACATAACACAGCTGTCAGAAGAAAGCATTTCTACACATGCTGTACCAGAGCTGCTGTCCCAACATTCACGCTACTGTCAGATTCAGTTGCATCACTCATATTCTGCACTGTTCAGGCCTTACAGAGAGCTGGAGGTACCACGACCCCTGCTGTTGAAATGTGAATACTCAGGTGTTGGTTAGATAGGCAGGAATTATATTCAAAAATACCTCTTTCTAACAAAGGTTCAAATTACTAAAATGAAAGTTCTCAAAAGAGGAAGCAGCTACCTCAAGGTACCAATGGGAATATGGTTTCCACTTAATCCATCAAGATGAAGGCAAATAAAACTATCCTAAACAGAGAACTTCTTGGTATTGAAACCTCAAGATCTGTTTCTCACATTTAGATTTCTTTCTACTTCTGCTTCCTACAGGCTCAATGCCCTGTGCTCCATCTCCCCTTTGCTGCCTTCCCAGACAGTAGAGAAAGCTTCTTACTGTCAAAAACTTCACTGAATGTTACCAGAAATGGATTTTAGGAAGTGGTAACTGACCCAGCTTTTAACCGTTAAGCAGCTTGTTTCTAACTGTGTAGTAAAACGTTCTGGCACCCTTTAAGAGAACTATCACGCACCACAAGTCAGAGGTTTGCTTCTCTCTTTTTTCCTTTTGTGGATTAAGGGGAGAGGAATAGTGGTAGTTACAATTAAAGTGTGATGGGTAGAAAGTGTCTTTTTTGTTTTGTTTTGTTTTACAATAGAAAATGTCTTAAACGTTCTTCAAAGGTATCTTACCTTAAGGTAAACATTCCAAAAGAATGTTTCTCAGGTTCAGTGAACTTGTCCTATTCATTTTTACATTTGTAATCTCTAGAACAATGCCAATTCATAACACACATTAGGCATTTAACTAATGTCTCTTGAATTAAATCGCTTTGATTTGGATTTCTTAGCACAGGTCACGCCCACCAGGTTTGGCCATCTGTGAATCCCACCTTCATTTCTCAGGGCTCCAAGGCTCCCCAGTGATGTGTGTTGTTTGGCTTGGCACCACACTTTAATTAGTATGGAGTGTCTTCATGCTGATGTACTGAAATGCATTGCTACTTTTTTTATTCTTATCAAAGAATTTCTTCTGACAAAGACTTGTAAAACTTTCTGCCACATATTTTTGGACATTTTCTTTTTGATGTTAACATTTAGAAATGCGTTTCTTTTCATTTAAAGGAGAATCTCAGAAGTTTCCCAGAAATCAGTAATTTTCTCATTGCTTTATCAATTAATCTTTTATTTTTATTGTGTACATTAGTATTTTAAAGAAAAAATAAAGAACCTCTTAATGTTAAACTACTATTACATGTCTTTGGATTCCTTTCAATGTAGAGACCTAAATGTTTACACAAATATAAAACAGTAAGCATAATTTCCTATAATTCACATTTTTGCATACAATTTTACATCTATCAAGATTATTTAAAGACTATGTTAACAGTTAATGAGAGAAATAGCAAAACATCAAAATTTATTCATTTCTCAATTGCTGAGCTTTAAAAAAAACACTTCTATGAATGGAAATGCTAAAAACATCTTTATAAAAGTAGCTATTTTTTCTTTTAAATATTTTCCCAGGGGACAAAGGTGTGGCTCCAGCCATATGTTAAAAGACCAGTTACAGGGCTCCTGTCAGTCTTCCAGGTCACTCTTTAAAATGACTGCCAAAGTGTGATGCTACTGGTTAAAGACACAAGCAAAGTTAAACCTTCTCGCTTAATAGCATGGACTGTCAAAGTTGTCTCAACTTACAATCTAATATTCACTAACTTGAATATCATTGTAAGAACTGAATTTTATTTGCATCTTCTCATTTGCAGTCTGTTCCTTTGTAAGTCTGCCAAGAGTTACAAAGCCTTAAGGATTTGCACTCACTTAAAAATTAAGTGCTGTGCAATGCAAATAGTTTTATCCCATCTTTTCTTCCTATTTGATATAGTTTTCATTTTTCTTTGAGTTAGTCAACCTTGTCAGTGGTTTTCATGGAGCATGAGTTAGGTGCTTTCTTTCATTGCCACAAAGTCCCTCTACACCATTACCGCAATGAAAATAGTAGCCTTTTTACTTTTATACTCAACATTTTCAAGTTATTAAATGCTTCTAAGAGGCTTACTTTCCACTTGGCACCACCAAATGTTTAGAGGTTGTCTTAGAGCATCCTTTAAGGACCTGACAAGCAAAGCTCCCATTTTTTTCTCCTAAAGTATAAACATCTTTGCCTGCTTTACTTTCTTAAACTGCCACCGTTCTGTCAAATCACATAAAGCATTCCAGGTGGAATGTTAAATGGTATTGTGATAAATCTACATACTGTCACATATTGGTATTCCTTTGGAAGTGGTTTGATATACACGAGCTAATTCAATCCTCACAATAATTCAGTTCTGTATTATATTTAAGAGATGGTGGAATGGTAGCTAAGAGTGATTTTCCCAGTAAGCAGTGAAATGAAAACTCCCCAATTACCATTTTTCCATTACACCAGGGTGTCGCCCATGGGAATAGGCTCATATTTTAAATTTATCCCCTTCAACATGCTTCTATTTAAGCATCTTTCTTAAATTGTCCCAATATAGTTTGTATAATTTTATTTAAATGACTCATATATTAATATTTAAGTATTTTAAAAATTCTGTCACTGTTGGAATCTAGAAATGAGATTTCCAAGTTATATATCGGTAACTTCCTAAATTATTCTTTTATTAGTAGTACATTTGTATGACAGTATATGTTTAGCTACGTATAAAGCCATGTTAGTAGAAATATTTTCTATCTCCTGTATCTTTCTCACTTTGGAAATATTTTCTTTTGCAATGGCAAGTTTCCTCTTCCATACATAAATAAAAATGGTACCAACATCATATCCCTTCTACATGAGCCATGTTTATTACATCTTCTCAATATGAATAATGTTGGCTCTTAAGTGATTACATTTAGAAGCCTATGAAATCATTATAAAATTTAAATAAAAGATGAATGATAGTTTTTTAGAAGAGATCATAGTTAATTCTTTGAGTCTTTACCACTTTGTTCTACTAATGTTGATGTAATGGCCTGAGTCACAGTAAACAACTACTTTCACTGGTTTCTGTATTGTTTGATGACACTGTACTTCACATTTTGCCTCTATACAGAATGAGACCCTTTTAAAAATGTTTGATTTTATGTACTGCGGCCATATTTGCCTCAAATTATGCAATTAATGGCATTGTCATCTTTCATGATACATGTATATTGTTTATTATGTAAATATCTGAAAGTTCACCAGTAAGTCTTAGAGGTACAATTCTAACTTGTCAGAAAATTATACTAGATTATAACCTCCACTAAATTTTTAAATGCTCTTTCTTGGTTATAACTTGTCATATCTCCAACTTACTCTGCATGGAGTTAAATGGATCAATTTTCTTATTTTTTTAAACAATCCTTATTTTGGTCTAGTGTTAATAGTTACTTGTTTCCTTTATATTCAGCTGTATCATCTTTTGCAGCTTTGCAAAGTCTCTGTGCCTTTTCTCTATTTCTTTTAAGAAATATATGATACTGAAAAACTTCAGTAGGTCTGAATTCCCTTCCTTCTTTCCATTCTTTGTGATACTAGGAACTGAACCCAGAACAACCACTGGAGCTACACTCCCAGTTCCCCACCTCACCTTTTATTCTTTTTTTTGAGAAAAGGTTTCACTGATACCTTTGCCAGAGCTGGTCTTGAACTCCAAATACTCCTACCACTGCCTCCTGAGTAGCTGGGATTACAGGCATGCATTACCACACTTGGCTAATATTTTAAAATTTTAATTACTATGTTGTAGGTCATTCATTTCAGTTGTTTTAGTAGATTTAATCTTTAGGGTCTGCCAAATAATATCACTTTGCTATATTTAAAAACTCAGTATTAATATCAATCCATGCCCTTTCTACTTAAATCTGTCTTTTCTCATTTTCCTCAGATACACAAGAACATTAAGAGTATATTCGGAACATATATGGGCCTACTACAATTTTTTATAACTGTGTTCAAATCAAAAGATGTTATATTTTGTTAAAACTAGCCAAACTCTGCTTCAATAAGATGTATAGCGCTAAAAATACATTTATTTTTAATAATTAATCTTACTCTTTACCTTTCTGATTCAGAAAGGTGCAAGGCCATCCTCTGCTTTTCTTCACAGCAGCATTAATTTCTGGTTCTCAAGGCTACCTTTTCCTTCTCTTACAGTACCTATACTCTTCTAACAGCAAAAGGTAGTGAAAGAGCAGGGTTTTGGAACAGTGAAAGTAAGACAAGGTTCTAATATTGGCTCCTCCACACAGCAGACTCTGAGCAAATTATTACTTGAGTCCCCATCTCCTCTTTGAAAGCATGTACCATGAGATTTGCCTCATAGTGTTGTTGGGAAACTGAAATGAAAAAGCACAATATTAAGTGTTCAGCACGTAACAAAAGTTGTTTCAAAGCAGAAATTACTGTGAGTGGATTTGGTTCCTGAAAGAGCATCAGCTTCTGCATGCAGGATGGAAATGGGACAAACCAAGTCCACCTCTTCTAACAAGTGTTTGCCACTGGATGCAACCAGTTTATGACTGATGTAACCAGTTGGTTAGGGAGGTTGGAGGGGAGGGGAATTTTTATTCTTTAGATAAAAGCCAAGAGCCAATAGTAGAAGGGGACCAGGAACTACAGAAAAGGTTAGATCAAAAAGAATTAACCTAGAAGGTAACACACATGCACAGGAAATTAATGTGAGTCAACTCCTTGTATAGCTATCCTTATCTCAACCAGCAAAAACCCTTGTTCCTTCCTATTATTGCTTATACTCTCTCTTCAACAAAATTAGAAATAAGGGCAAAATAGTTTCTGCTGGGTATTGAGGGGGTGGGGGTGACAGGGAGGGGGCGGAGTGGGTAGTAAGGGAGGGGGTGGGGGCAGGGGGGAGAAATGGCCCAAGCCTTGTATGCACATATGAATAATAAAATAATAAAAATAAATTAAAAAAAAAAGATAAAAGCCAAGAGGAAGAAGTGATTATGAAGACTGTTACCTCACTGTTTGTGGGGTGGAGCAAACGTAGGGGCGTGGTAAGTCCTCCTTTGATTCATTCTAACAGTTAGCATGACTGATTAAAGTGGTAGAGCCAATACGGTAGCATGCTCATCCTGAAAAACTTGAGAGAATCTATTTACAGAAAGTTTTTAAAGTTATTTAATGTTGGGTGTGGTGGTAATCCCAGCACTCAGGAGGCTCTGAGGCAAGAGGACTGAAGTTTAAGGCCAGCCTGGGCTACATGGTGAGAACCTGTCTCAACAAAACAAAAACATATGCAATCCCAGGTTAAAAATACCTAGTTCAGTTTACTCCTTATAAATTCCTTTTTAGGGATTTTAGGCCAGCCATCCTAAAGCATCTTTTCCTGGGTTAATTTATCTATGTTGGCCTGGAGTTGCTTGTTGGAAGTTCTTTTAGATGTCTGAATAGGGTTTTGCAGACATTTTTTAAGCTAATTGCATTCCCTAGATTTTCTTTGCAATATACCTCCCCAAAATGAGCTTTGACTACAAATGCTGGTTCTTTCTGTAAAGTAGAGGCTATGGGTGGCCTCATTAGTTACCAGGGTCAAGGGTGTGAAATCTGCAAAATGTAACATCAGCCCTTCACAAAGAATAAAGGATCATGCAAGCTAATCTTCTAAGAATTAGAGACATTGTATTTATCATATTGGTGTTGTATTAGTTGCTAATCCTACTACCAACTCTACATGTTTCTATTATATACAAAAGATTCACACAATTATTTGTGTATGTGTTTCACTACTCAAATGGGGGTGGTAGCAACTATAATTAACTGCAAAGGTAACTAAAGCATCAGACATTATTAATTATTCTGTAGATAATGATAAAAACTGAAGACAGTGGCAGTATTACCTTCCTTTAAGCAAAGTTGCTCATATGAAACCCTCACATATATACCCAGCCATAAAATAAAGCTAACTCTATTTTAAGATTGTAGGTCATGGAGCAGATTCTGAAACAAAAAGTTCAATAACCAGTAAATCAGTTACTAATAGCTTAACAAAGACATCCAATGCCCACTGTCACAAAGACAGTGAAGGACATTTGCATAGCATTTATCACACAATCAAATCTAGTTACTCATCCAGAAACTGTTCTTCAAACAAGAACATTCCGATGCCTGGATGAAGAGCATTTCCATTTCGCTCTTCTCTAATCCTGAAGGTGCTTTCCTGGGCTTTCTAGGTCTTGCTTTTCCTCAGGAGGTTCTGGGTTGGCCCTAATGTTACTGGTTTCAGGACCATCTGGTTGCTTATCATCACCATCAAAGATAATGTCTTCTGGATTTGGAGGAGGAGGGCAGAATTCTTCACTTGGGAATATCTCCCGGAATAGCGTTTCCGCTTGGTTGACTGCATGCTCATTCCCCAGTCCAGAGTCAGGTCCAGAGCAGACATAGACATTGGAAGGTAAGTCACAATATGAGCTTCTGCTGACTCCTGAGGAATCTCTCATATTAAAATAAAGAGCCCACAAGAGTCTTGGTTTTCTGAGTTCTTCTTCGTCTGCTTCTGTCTCAGTAAAGGGAGTGAATAATTTCTTCACCACTGACTCTAAGTCTTCCCTTGCTGTTTTCAAAGATGAACAGGTCAGATGTACCAGGTAAGTGCCTTTCATGCACGTCATGGTTGATGAACTTAATTCTGTGACCCGAACAGAACAAGTTCCTGGTTCCACTGGAGGCACTATCAAGATGGAAATCTGCTGATCTGAATCTGCCTTTAGTATAGACTGATCTGTAATGAGCACTGCCCTGGAGATCTGCTTATATTGCACATTTGAGCATGTTTCCTTAGAAAGGTAACTATCCTCTACAATAAAATACTTAGCATTTATTCTTTGACCAAAGTGATCTATAATTGCTTTGCATCTTCCAGATTCTTTGTCAACTACAAGACATTGTATTTTATGGCGAAGACAATAGATTCCACCAAAAACTGCACACATTCTGCAGAAACACTGGGGAATTTCTCCTTGGCCATACAAAGGAAACAGAAAGGGAGTGTTGCCAAACCTTCCAAGACACCGAAGGAAGTTTTTTGTTGCTTTAAGGCCATCTAATGTACTACAAGATGATTCTGACGTCATTGCAATTGAGTGTAGTATAAAATGTTGGAGGCTGGGAGTTAATTTTTTAGTTTTTAAGTACTCTGAAAATAAACACTGCTTGTAATCTTGGTATTCATCAGGATGTTGTTCATAGTCTAAACAGAATGTAAGAAATTTCATTAGCATCCTCTTTTCAATCATAGTGAGTTCTTTGCTATTAAAGACATCTGCTCTGGAGCAAGGTACCTGTTCTACTTTTCCTTCCCGAAATGCAAGAATCCTAGTAACATTTTTAAATTCTGCATAACGACAAACATTTGACTTGATTAAAAGATCAATCAGCAATCCTTGAGAATAAAGCAGCTTTGATACCAAATCAATATTAAATTTCCTGCCTTCTCTAATCATTTGAGGGTAAGTAATCCTATTTCTCTTTGGTTGATCAGTGTTGTCTTCCACTGCAGGTCTGTCTTCATCTTTATCTCCTTCTGGAACTGTGCCTATACAAGTTTTATCTCCGCAGTTCTTTTCTTTCTCCACTGACTCCTCTACATCAGGTACTTCTAGCAAAACTTCTCTATGCCCTTCTTCAAGTAGATAAGTGGAATCCAGAGGTTTAGTGAGGGTACTAGATGTGTCTGAGGAGGGGTTCTTCTGCAGAGCACCAATCTCTTGAACACTGTCCTCTGTATCTTGATTAGCGTAACAAAAAACTTCTGTATGTTGAATGGTTTCATCCTTCTTGCGAAGAGGGATGGCTTCTTCTGTTTCATGGATCAAGTCTTGCCATGCAGCAGTAGTTTCTTCCTCAGTTTCACTGTTTGGTTGATAGTCCTTCAACCAGGAAAGCAATCCTGAGAAGCTGAAACTAGCCCAGTTCCCTCCATAGTAACTTCTTGAGTCAATATGCAGAACCCTTTGTCCACTTCTTGAACATGCAGCTGCAAGGATGGACTCAGGCAAACCTGTCCCTATTACAACCACATCAAACTCTGTGGGAAGACAGTCTGCCATCTTAGGAGGTGAAGAGTCTAGTGACAGCTGCTGATGAAGGAAATGCAAATGATCTAGGCCGGGGGATCCTCTCAGGTGTGATTATGCTGAAAATCTCTCCTGGTGATGTCTCAGTTCATTCCAGAAGCATGGAGTGTGCAGGTCCCAGCTGTCTAACCATTACCTTTTTAAGACATTTTAAAAGTTAGTCAGTAGCATAGAAACATGAGAGAGTACATCTAGTCACATCTGAGAATACTAATACAGATGTGTCGTTTTCATGTCTGCATTTCACTTTAGCAGTAAATGTCAAACTGCATCACATATGCATTTGTGACTGGAACTCTTCTCTGAAAGAAGAAAATTCAAAAAAGAATACAATTGTAAACAACATATAAAATCAATTTCATGCATCAGCAATTATAATCCATTATATGACTTGTTATGAATACTATATGCTAAAGTGAGTCATTAAATGACTTACATATTTCCTAATTTCTTGCAAATAAACAATAGAGACAACCTCCCCCAAATCAGGTAATACAATCATACAAAGAATGGATACACTGTCCCACAAAAATAAAAATAATTAACATAATATAGTTCTTTGCTTTTAAAAATATTTGAATGAAATCATACATAGCTATGAATGTAGAACAAAAGAAATGTGTGCCTTCACTGTGTTTATGGAAACACATTACACACTATGTTCATACTGTCATGGTAGGAATATTTTTATGGCCAATGTAGTCTGCTGGCAAATCTGGGATAGTAAGACCTTTCTATGCCCAACCAGCATTAGGATCTGGTGGTAGCTAAGTGAGATTATTTTGACTGAATTAATCAGTCAGATTATTTTAAAATAATTAATTCAGTAAAACAAATAGCATCTAAAAATATTTAGGTACATACAGAGCGGGCCTACTGAGGGGAAAATGTGTAATGAATTATTCTATGACTGTACATATGCACAAATGTGTTTGTAAGTTAAAACGAAAATTCCTGGTTTCATGCATTAACATAAGTAACACTTGTTTGTAACATATGAATAAGGTGTTGTTGGCATTTTATCAGACTGTCTCTGCAATCACAAATCACTGTGTCCTAAGCAAGAGGCCTTTCTCTACATCCTCTGCTAATACTGGTATGCTATTATTCTTGTTTTTGAATGGAAAGTCTCTCCACCGTAATGCTGGTTATATTCCACAAGCAGACTATTGATGTGATGCTAGGTGTGGCCAGAGGTGAACAGTTAAGGGCCTGAAAGGCACTCACCTCTACCTGTGGGTCCTCAGGCTGAAGCACAACACACCCCACAGTGCTAGCCTATTGCTCACTACTGCACAGTAGCACTGAGAGTACTTTGACTTCTAATTTGCATTATCAGTAACATGATTTCTGATTTCTGATTAGTATAATGAAATCTAGGTCAGTCCTAAGAGGACTGGATATTGGTAAAACAAGGCATTCATTCAAACTTAGATGAAATTGACTAGGAAACTGACCTGACTGGTCAGTTTCACTGAAATGGTGATCCTAATATCCTAAGGATATCAGACATTTTACTTATTTTTAGCATTCCCTGAGAGGCCAGAATCTGAAAACAACAACAAAAAAAAGCAGTTGCCTTGTCTAGTCATGTATGTATAGAAAGAATGTCTGAATTAATTTGGACTTCTTCCAGCAGGGTGTGAAGAGGGAAACAAATAGGTAACCATGGTATGTGCTCATCCTTGGCTTAGAAAGGGGCAGGGCTGAGAGGACATAAGAGATGAAGACACAGGTCATCAGCACTAATGCCAAGCAATTTCTAACCTACAGACACCAAAGAATCCTCAAAATACAGAGCAGCTAGGATGATCTTAAAGAACATTAACTACTCCTTAATAAAGATGAGAAAACTGATGGCCAGGGAGAGTAAGAGGTTTGGGAAAGCCCACACGGTAAGTTAGCCACAGAATGAAGAGCAGGACCCACCCTTGGTCTTCCCACCAGACAAGTAAGCCTCTTCAAAGACTCTGGAGAAAGCAGCTACTTCTGGCATTAAAAAAAAAAAATCTCCTCTCCCTTCAATACCCCATCCTCAAGGATAACAAGAGGGGAAGTACCTTCCTTATCCATAACCCTAAATTAGAAGCATACTCCAGGCAAAGAAATTCTTTATCTTTGCTGAGAACATTTAAGCACCACAGTAACCTCACTCTCGACTTGTCCTTCAGAGTTTAATCAAGTCTCTGATTCTCTAACCCCAACATATTTACCTCCCATTTTAAAATGGGGACACCAGTCATGGTTGAAAGCACTAAATAAATGCCCTTAGAGCCAAGTGCTGTGTCTCAAGACATGTGATCCCAGCCACTCAGTAGAGATAGCAGTTCAAGGTCAGTTGAAGAAAAAAAAAAAAAAAAAGGCAGTAAATATCTAAAAACAGGGCCAGGTGTGGAGGTGCGCGCCTGTGATTTCAGCTAGTGAGGAGGCATAGGTGGGAGGATCAAGGGCAAAAAATGCAAAATTCTATTTGAAAAATCTAAAGCAAAAAGAGCTGGAGGCATGGGCTCGTGGAGTGGCTTAAGTGGTAGAGTGCATGCCTAGCAAGCATGAGGTCCTGAGTTCAAAACACCAGTACCACCAATAAGGGGGGGCCGCTGGAGGCATGGCTCAAGTAGTAAAGTGCTTGTCTAACAAGGACAGGGCCCTGAGTTCAAATTCCAGTATCACCTAAATAAATAAGTAAATAAATAAAATGCCCTGAAAAACGGAGCAGAATTCAGGTAAGATAATGTGTGGAGAATGTTTCTAGTAGTCTCAGAAAATCATTTCTGATGGTATGGACTCCAGAAGGAGTGCTGAAGGAGAAAAAAAGACAGAAGACACACGAGGGTGGGGCTCACGGTGAAAAGGGGTGACGGAAAACATGGATGCTGTTAGCAATTATTTTAAAAAAAAAAACAATACATCCTTGTTTTGAAACTCCCACTTATAGAAACAGAATTTCCCAGCACAGAAAAGGCACTTTATGGAAATAACTTTCACATCGGTGAACAAAACACCTGTTGCCCACCACAGGGGCTAGGGCTGAAATCACTCTTTCAAGCTTAGTACTGCCTAAAAAATTGCTGAATAGATGTTTTTAATTAACAAAAGGAGTGAAATCACATAGCTATGTATCACTGCCTACAGTGTCTTCCCTAAATTTTTGTACAACGGAAACTCTCAAATTTTTGTACAAAGGAATTTTGTACAAAGGAAATTCTAGGATTAGTGCTTACTAGACAGAAAGAACAGAACATTAGAATCACTGAGGCAATCAAATAAATGAAATTGAGACTTTTCTGACATTTCCTGGTTCCTTCAAAAAAACAACAACAAAAAGGAATCATGACAAATAGCACAATATTTGGGATTATCACAGCATAGGAGGTTGATGAATAAAAATATGTATGTTACACAGAGCTTGTTCTCCTTTATCTGCCAAGATAAAAGCTGTAATAACTTATCAATATAAGGATTCTAAAGAGGAACTTTGAGTCTTGAGAAATACGCATTTCTACTTGAAATCTGTGTACAAATGAAATTCCTGGAGCCCACAATTTCTTTCCCAGGCTTAAAACTCATGTCTTCCATAATATACCGGATTTCGTCACTCCTCCAACTGTCAAGTCTCAGTGAGGCTGAAGTCTTCTGTAACGAGGAGGGGTACTGTCGTTAATGAAATCGACTGACTGCATGGCTAATTATTCACCCGAGCAGGAATTCTCTGAGCCATTTCTAATCTCACCTCCTATTTTGGTGGGATGGAACGTATGAGAAGAAAAACAGTAAAAATATCTTGTAGGGCACGTGCCAATTTGCACTGTGAATGAAAGACTCTCACTCCCTAGGAGACATTCAAAGGTTTGCAAACTGTGGGTGAGCAAAAGAAATAAACAAGATCACACTGCTACGATTTTAGGTTTCCACCTCTCATTCTAGGAAACAAGTAACACGAAGGAACCCTCTTTGGCCCCTTCTCCAACTTTCACGAGTTGATCACTTTTTCTACAGGCCCAGCAGGTACAAGGACCTGCACAGGGAGGTGAAAGCAGAGGCGACTGAGGGGCGGGGCCCGGGGCCCGGGGCCCGCGGGGTGCGCGAGCGCGGACGCTTCCGCTCCCACCCACCCGGCCAACTCACCCAGGAGGCTGCCGCTAAACCCGTCCCACGCGCAGCCCACGGCGTCCCACGCCCAGCCGCTCCTCAGGCAGGACACGAGGGAAAAGGTGACTCCGAAGAGGGTCACCAGCAGGTGGCCGAGGCTGAGGCTGACCAGGAGGAGGTGGGTGGGAGCGCGGAGCCGCTGGAACTTGTAGTAGAGGACGAGCACCAGCAGGTTGTCGCCGACGCCCAGCAGCCCAACCGAGCCGAGCAGCAGCGCCAGGCGCTCGTAGGTGCCCGGGCTGAAGAGTGGCGCGGGGCTCCGCGTCCCCGCCGGCGCGGGACCCTCGGGCCCGCCGTCCTCCCCGTAGCCCTGGCCGCCGCTGCGGTTCCCCGAGTACATGGCCCGGCGCCGCTCGGCAGGCGGAGTGCTCAGCGTGCGGGGCCGCCCGCGACGCGCAGCTCAGTGGGTGGGGCCCTCGCTCCGCCCGCGGCGCTGGCCAGGGTGCGGAGTGGCGCCGCGCGGCGCGCAGAACGCCCTGCTGGCGCTCCCCTCCCACCCGCGCGCCTCGTAGCCCCGCCTACTACCGCGCCTCGCGGTTCCTTCCGCCGCGCGCACTCGTAGCCCCGCCCCCCGGCGCTTTCCTTCCTCTCCGTCCTGCCCGCGGGCGCGTCCCCGCCCCCCAGGCGCGCACTCGTAGCCCCGCCCCCCGGCGCTTTCCTTCCTCCCCGCCCTCCCCGCGGGCGCGCCCCCGCCCTCCAGACGCGCGCTCGTAGCCCCGCCCCTTGCGCGCCTCCTCTGTACCCCGCCCCCATTCGTTGGGCCGCTCCACCCTCGGCCGGGTTTGGACCCCCGCCGGGCGAGACCAGGGGACAGGAACGCGGAAACAGCAGTGCACTTCAGCGGCTTTCACACCTCCTCTCCCCGCACCCGGCTTGAAAGCATCCTATCCATTCAGCCTTCAGTCACTCACTTCTGCATTCACTCATTCATAAATATTGATGAGCGCATGCGCTTAACCAAGTACCAGCGAGAGGGTTGGAAGAAGTGCTCCCACCCTGGCCTCTCCACTTCCTGGGAAGCTGTAATGATGCCCACCCCGCGTCACACACTTAATGTATGCAAAAGAAAACAAGTCATTAAAAGCTTGCCGTAGAATATCAAGCAATCTTGCAAACGGGGAAAACTGCAAAAAACCCGGTAAACTTGGTAACACTAAAACACCCAAAAACCGGAGGACGCGTCCAAGGTCTTTAAGATTGTGCCATGATGGAAGAGATAGGAAGCCTGCCACCCTCAGTTTCAAGATAAGGAGGGAAAAGGCGTGAGAGCGGGTCCAAGGTTATGCCCCAGGCTGGATGGGCCCCAAGTCCTTCCTGTCCTGTCTGAAAATACCAGCAGATCAGGCCTATTGAAAACCTTCTTTGGAGGTGACCGCCTGAGCTGTGCTGTCAAAGCTTTAACCTAAATCTAGCACGTATAGAGAGGTAGGAGCTATATTTAGAAAAGCACACATTTTCCTCTGGGCTTTTTCCATAGAAGAGAAATATAGTACAAGTCAAATATAGATTGTGAACGTGATGACACTTTTCAAGGGCTGCTTTTGTCACTGTCCCTGTACAGTCCTTAACAAGGACCCACACGGGGAGGCAGTCCTGTACCAATGTCCTGGACACTGGTGACTAGCAAGGAGTTTATGGAAGCTAAAGTAATTGTTTCTCTGTTCAAAAGAATAACCAGTGTTTAGGAATCACCCCAAATTCCAGGAATCCCAAATTCCCTGGGTCAGTGCTTCACCCTAGAGCATTGAGCCAAGGAGCAGGGCAGTACTCTTCTCTCAAAGCCGTGATTCTAAGACTTCTAACCTTCATTTTCCATCTAACAGACCATCCAGTCCACCTACCCTAAAAAAAGTTCTTAATTTTATATTTTGCACTTATACAGTCACTTATGTTCTGTATGTTTAATGTCCACCGTGTTTTCAGCATAGTGCACCCTCTACAGTAAGTCCCCAGTAAATATTAGTTGAATGAGTAATGGAGTCACTATATTCTTTGCTAAATGTATTTATTCATTCTTTAGTGCTGAGTCCTTTCCTCATAAAGCTTATATTCTAGTAGTGTTGAGAGAACATATGTAGGATAAAGAATTAAAAGGCAGAAAAAGGGTATAGGAGAGGGAGGAAGCAGATTATTTAGACAGGCGATTGCAGGTAGTGCTGAACTGAATACTGTGAGCACAGGGTGCTTGTGCTGAGGTGGGATTTGTGCTTGGTGTGTTGGAGGAACAGCAATATAGCAGAGTAAGAATGGAAATGAGGGTGGACAGGTGGGTGAGCACTGGTTGGCTGGATCATGAGGTGACTTGGCTTTATTCTACCAGAGAGTCCAGGGTAATGCCTAAGCAAGAGGAGTAGTAGCGATGAATGAAAAGGACCAGTAAAAGACTTTCGGCAAATGTTTGGGAATTTTGATACTTGTTCTTTACAATACCACAAATTGTGAAGGGTACTTATTCAATTTGGCAGAAACAGATGAAATACCACATATGTGATTTCCTTTGCCAATAATAACATGTTTTGTGTTGATTTCAGAATTATGTATTGATGGGATAATGGCAAAATACTACTGCTTAAAACAAGCGTGGTTCTAGGATGAGGTTAAACGCATGGGTCAGTGGAACAGAATGGAATCAAGCAATGAACCCTCACATATAGGTCAGCTGATGCCAACACATTGGGGTGGGGGGGTAAGGACAGTCTTTTCAACAAGTGCTGGTGCAAGTGTAAACTCATATACCAAAGAATGAAGTTGGGCCTTATGCTCCATCATGTACAGAATTAATTCAAAATGGGGCAAAGACCTAAATATAAGAGCTAAGCCCATGAAGTTGTTTTGTAAAAACTTCATGGATATGACACCAAAGCATAGGTAACAAAAGAAAAAAATAGATAAATGAGACTTCATTAAAAAAAAACCTTGCATATCAAAGGCCACTATCAAAAAACTGAAAACACAATCCATACAAAAGGAGAAATATTTGCAAATCATGTACCTGATAAGGGATTAATATGCAGAATACATAAAGAACTCCTAGAACACACCACCCATAACAGTAAAACCTTACACAATTCTATTAAAAAATGGGCAAAAGTCCAGAATAGATTTTTCTCCAATAATATGCAAATGACCAATAAGCACATGAAAAGAAGCTTAACATCATTAGTTGTTATGGAAATGCAGTCCAAACTATAATGAAATACCAATTCACATGTATTAGAATGGTTATTATGAAAACATAAAACAGTATTTAAAATCCACAGAAAATAAGTTTTGCAAGGATGTGGAAAAATTAGGACCCTGGTGCTTGCTGGTGGGACAGTTGCTATGGGAAGCAGTCTGATGGTTCCTTCCAAAGGCAGACATAGAATTACCAAATGACCTGACAGTTCTACTGCCAGGGATACACCCTAAAGAACTGAAAACAGGGGCTTGAATGGATTATTTGTGCACCAGATAATCCACATTATTTGTGTTACTCATTATGGCCAAAAAGTGGAAATAATGCAAATGTCTATCAACAAAGAAGTGATAAACAAAAGGTAGTATATATATATATATATATATATATATATATATATATATATATAATATAGATCATGTAGTATATACATATATACGTAGTATATATAGTACAAAATATATATAAATTATATATCATATATAAGATTAATTATATACAATATACTATATATAATATATAACAAGTTTGTATATTATATGTAATGGATATTAATCATAGAAAGGAATGGAATTCTAGAATACACTGCATCTTGGATACACTTTAAAAACAGTATGCTAAGTAAAGTAAACCATACACAAAAGTATAAACATTATGTCCTATTTATATGAGGTGCCTATGGACCTGCCTCAATGCACAAAAAGTAGAATGATGGTTTCCATGAGCTGAGCATAGGGAGGAATGGAGAATTGTTTAGTGGGCACAGAGTTTCTTTTGGGGTTCTGGAAATGGGTAGTGGTGATAGTTATGTGATATTATGAATGTCTTGATACCATTTAATTGTACACTTTAGAATGATTAAAATGGAAGATTTCACTTTGTACATTAAGCCACAATTTAAAAAAAAGAAAAAGAAAAACACTCAAATCATTCTCGTTTTCATTTCATTACTGATGTAAACAATTTATTAAGCAAGCAGGACTTTTGGTGCAAGCAAAAAGTGACTTTAATTTCTTTGCCACCATTCATTTTGATTGTCTTCTTTCCACTTGTTCTTCTAGTCCTTTGATTAAAATTTGGCAGGTCTCAAAGCTTTTCTGGTCAATTCTAGTTAACATAAATCTAGAACATTGTAATACTGAAACACTAGAGCCCATACAAATGGCACATATCCACCCTCCAAAACTGTGTCTGCTTCAGGCTAGGAGAACTGTGAGGATGGAGGTGGGAAAGAGAACAAGTTCAGTTTCTTCCATTTCCTTTGCCCGCTACCTAACGATGTTACTCTTGCCCACTCCAGTTTTACCAGTAAAAATCTTGAGTGGTAAAGTTGTCATCTGATGTCAGTGACCTCTGAGTATATCAGATTTTAAACAACTTTTTCCTCCTCTGTGGTGATTTGTGTATTCTCAAGAAAACCTGAGCACCACGGGGCAATGGCTTCATCACCTGGTAAGTTGGGTCTCCCTCTCAGCACAGCCTAGGGTCCCCAAGACTCTACAGGTAGTCTTCACCAGTAGGGCATCTCCAAGTTGATCCAGTGTGGGTCCTCTACAAAGAGTCCAGCATCTGCCCCCAGGGATATAGGTATGCATCCTTGCCTGGACCAAATTCCTAAAGTGGTCTGCTGTGGAGATCTGGCTAGCCTGCCTCTCTCTTTCCAGGTGGTGGAAAGAAGTAAGGGAAAATCTTGTCCTCTTGAAGTGCTCATTAAGGGTCTCTTCTAGCTCCTAGTCAACTTGCTGTCTTTTCTTAAGGAGTTTGGCAGAGAGAATGACCAAATAAATGCATGCAGACTGGTTCCCAATCCTCCAGACATCTCCCATATGGGTTGCCCCTTAGGATGAGGGAATTCATGAAGATTTTGATTTCATTACTGATGTAAACAATTTATTGAGCAAGCAGGACTTTTGGTGCAAGCAAAAAGTGACTTTAATTTCTTTGCCACCATTCATTTTGATTGTCTTCTTTCCACTTGCTCTTCTAGTCCTTTGATTAAAATTTGGCAGGTCTCAAAGCTTTTCTGGTCAATTCTAGTTAACATAAATCTAGAACATTGTAATACTGAAACACTAAAGCCTATACAAATGGCACATAGCCAACCTTTGTAGGTTTTCTCCCAAGGCAGAAAGGGGTTCATTTTAATATCTGATGCACTGGAACATTATCAAGTCATTAAATTTCCATGTTCCAAGAAGGTCCTTTGCCAAGTATGGGAGAGGGGATGGAGATAAGCTTTATCTGGTGTTCCTTTCTGAAACAACCCTAGCCTTCTGCGCCATGCATGTTCAGCTGGGAAGAAACTTC